TTACTGGAAGTTGATGAAGATGGTAGTAGCTCCGATGATGATAGTAGCGACTTTGAGGGCAAGAATTCAGATGAGGAAGCCGAACTTGAGACTTCTGATGTTGGTCGAGTTGCTACAGAATCTACAAGTTTGGTTGCAGATCCTTCGATTGAAGGAGATGATTTTGAGTTGAGGAGGAGGGATTAATAGACACACAGTTATTGACGCTTGACTTATTAGAGTAACTGTCAACTAACATAATTTGTTGGTTAATTATCGGCTATCTTCTTATTTTGCTTCTAGTTTTAGGGGAAACTGTGAACTTTTGAACGTGTTGCTAAACTTAAACAGAAGGAAAAGTAGGTGTATGCTTGCTTAAGTTCAAAGATTATAAATATATTGACTAAAATTGGTACCCTCTATTAGAAATTGGTCTTCAGGATGAAAATGGATGTTGGAAACGTATGTAAACGTCGGAGTACCCTATTTTATCTGATCTCTTCGGAGTACCCTATTTTATCTGACCTCTTCTATAACTGTTATGTTTCTAAAAAGTTAGGAGAAAAGAAGATCTTAAGTGCGGGGATCAGAAAAACTTTGCGGCTGCCTTGTTTCTTCTAACTTTGCTTGATTATCATTGTTGCGACTCCTAAACGACATCAATAGGGATTTTGAAGGAATTGTTTCATTTTTGATGTTTTCTGTCCCAGGCTTCATTATTTGAGGTTTTTGGTGTTGCGGAAATGTTTACATGAAGGAATTGTTTCATTTTTGATGTTTTCTGTCCCAGGCTTCATTATATAGGGTTTTGCTTTCCTCCTAGAAAACACCTTTTAAAATGTGATTTACATAAACCTTCTTTAATTATCAATTTATACATAAACAACATTTAAACGTTTTTTGTTGCCATCAACCCATGGACTTACTTTTAAGTTAAAATTTCTCGCTTTTGTTGCAATGATTTGTTGTTAAACACCAAATATAGTAAAAATATGATTCTTAGTGGAAGTTAAGAGGTTCAATTATCGGAAAAAATTTAACGGAAAAGTGGATCAAAGTGATTGTTTGCAAGAGAAAAATATTTAAAGTTTGTTTATGTATAAATTGACAATCAAAGATTATTCCTATAAAATAACTATATTTTGAATGTGGTTTTCTTTATCACGACAGAACCTTGCTTTGTTAAAGATCTCAGGCTTCCTTTCTTAAGGGACACATGCTTTTTCATCGCGGGGTTGAAAAAGGCCCACAAGATTGGGGAAATACTGAAAAACTCTCGTAAGCAAGAAAAACAATTGATATCATAATTTTTTGCGGTCCTTACTTTTGTTGATATATTAAAATTTGCTCCAAGATTGCGACACCAATTACACGTCTTACATATAAGGGTGTAACAATTTGTTTGGGGGTACTAAGTGCCAGGAAGCCTTTGAGACTTTAAAGGAGAAATTAAATACATCGTCAGTAATGGTTATTCTAAGCCGTGATAAAACATTTGTTGTCTACACGGATACATAGTTATCGGGTCTAGGAGGTGTTTTGATGCAGACCCAAAGAGTATTGGCTTATATTTCGTGAAAGTTGGGGCGCATCGTACCAGATACACAGTGCATCCAAGCAGAATGAAAATGTATAAGGATTTAAAGAGCCATTTTTAGAGAAGCTTCTAGGATTCGTTCGGTAGCCAGTTTTGGTATTCTAGTGTTCTCCAACCGCAGACAAATGGACAAACAGAAAAAGTGAACCGAGTATTAGAGGACGTGTTATGAGCATGTGTTGACTTTCAGGTTAGTCGGGAGGACAACATTCTTTTGATTTAGTTGATTATAACAATAGTTGTCAAGCAACTATTGGCATGACATTGTATGAGGCATGGTACAGGAGGTCTTATAGATTACCTATTTGTTTGGTAGAACTAGAGGACATCCTATTGTTTGTATCAGAACTTACGACATAGACTACTGATGCGGCATAATTATGTACCAAAATTGCAAGTGCACAATTGATCAAGTTATAGTATAAAAAGTTATCGATCCCACAAGAAAGGTAATTTTAAGAGATTATTAGAATTGGTTCTTATGTTTTGTGCGTGACAAAAATAGGATTAAAGAATAAGTGTGATTATAGAGAGAGATATGATGAGTGATTGTTTCGAATATATGCAAGTGACAATAAATTGAATTTTAGAGGAGAGAAGAAAGAATCAAAGAATAAAATAAAAAGCAAGAATAATAAGAGAAAAATCAAGAAAACAAAAGATGAAGAATTCAATTAAAGATATGAGTAATCTAGAATTGAATCCACTAGTTAATCTCAATTATAAAATACAAACTATTCTCTTTTTATTATATTTCAACTTAGATTTATTAAGCATAGACTATCAAACCATTTAAGAAAAGTATAACCTAGCAAATTATCATCTAAGTCAAAATTACAATTCATGATAAGAATAACAACAAGATAGTAATCCTAGAATTCATAAGCATAACCTATCAAACCATTTAAGTCAAGCATAGATTATCAAATTCTTCTTCTACCAATTAGTTCTCTAGTTGATTATCCTAAACATGAATATTTAAGTGCAAGAGAATAATTCATACAATATAAAGAAAATTAGACTAGTTTCATACAATTCTAATATTCCTACAAGAATTAATTTCACATCTTAAGAAATAAAAGTAAAAAGAAAAAGAACTAATTACAAAAATAAAAAGAAAGGAAAAAAAATCTAAACTATGAATAAAAAATAAATTTAACTACAAAGAATTAAAATCTAAACTACAAAATAAATTACAAAAATTAAATGCATGAAAATAAATCTACTCTACAAATTAAAGTGCAAAAAAATAAAAAGATAAGAAAATAAATCTACACTACAAGCATGAATGTAAATCTAACTAATAAGCAATAATAAAAAAATTACTAAAAAGAAATAAAAGAGAAAAATAAAAGAAATACAAACCTTCAAATTGCTCTTCATCTCCATCTTCATCATTCAACAAAGAGAAGAAAAGAAAAAGTTAAAGTGGAGAAAAATTATTTTATTGATTGCAACAAAAAGTTATAATTTTTAGAAGGTCTTCTCAATTAAGAGTAACCCTCCTCTCCAAATGGAGTTATAAAATTTTTCACACCCCTAACCCCTCACTCTCTACCTCTATTTATAGTAAACATCAGTGAATGAGAGAGCCCTTGGATCGAAATCTTATCCAAAAACCATGAATTTCAGCCTTTGATTCGTAACAGAATGACGATGGAATCGATACCAGTATCGATATGGGTATCGATGCTGGCATCGATGCCGTCATCGATGCTGGCATCGATGCCCAGTGTGCTGCAATTGCAATCCGCAGCTTCTTCTTCTTTTATGCTTTGGGCTTAGGCTTCTTTGACATTTCTTCTTCTTTTGGGCTTTCATGCTTGAGTCCTTCATTTAATTAGTGGGCTTTGTTGAGAGAAGAGATATTGGCCTTTTATTTTTGATTAACCTGCAATTAAAGATAAAAATAATTATTAGTAATAAATTTATTCATATAAACTAGATAATGAGGGTATAAAATTGTAATAAAATATGATTATCAAATACCCCCATACCTAAACTTCTGCTAGTCCTCTAGCGAAGAAAGAAAAAGAAAAGAATATTGGCCTCTTTGTTTTGATGATGTTTAACAAATAATTTACTACCAATGTTATTTGTCTAGTGTTTGTGCTTATCTATTTATTATAGACAAACAACATGTTGAAGGTTGGATGGATTGCGCCATAATGATCATATCAAATGAAGGTTGGCGGATATAGTGGTTGAAGCAATGCAATTCAAGTTCAAAATCTAAGTTCAAGCTTCATCCGTAAGATTACCAAGCCAAGCTATTAAAGATCAAGATCAAGCTTGGGTAATTTAGTTTAGGTTTTATATTATGTGTGTTAGTACCTTAAGCTCAATCATATATACACACACATTTTAGTTTTGGTTTCTATGTATATATACATGCATGATTTTATAGTTTTCATGTTTATAAATATGAAATTATATTTTTCATATTTATTACTGTGTTTTGGTTTAGCTACATAGATGTGAAACAACAAACAAATTTATTTACATTTTTATTTGTTTCATATTCTATTATGTTTCAGAATATATTGCATAGAATATGTAATTTTTTGAAAATATTATATTCTTAGGTTTTGGACTAAACAATAATCATATACATCTTTTATTAAGTCCACAAAATCATTTTGTAATGTTTCAAAACATGGTTAACCTAAAGTGTCAAAACTCATGTGTTTACATTTTCATGTTTTGGACTATTTTATAAAATGATGATATTTTTCAGTTGGAAGGTCCTTTCTAAAAACTAGTTTTTCTAGCATGTGTATTATCATGTCTATAATCATTTCTCAAAGTTTTACATTTTTTGGAATTTATTTGATATTTTTAAACAGGGTTTTAAAATCAGTAAACTGCTTTCAAACCTATTTTTAGTCTGTGTCAGTTTGCGGTTGACCGTCACGGTCGACCACCTTGAGTCTAGAGACTCAATATGTGTTTTGATGGCTCGCGGTCGACTCTGGCGGTCGACCGGATACAGTCCAGAGAGTTTCACGGTCGATTGCCACGGTCGACCGGCTGATGTCCAGAGCCTATATTCTGTCCCCCGTGGTCGCCCGCCGAACTGTCATTCAGTCTCTAACGGCTAGTTCCGGCTGAGATTTTCCAAGGGCTTTTTGGTCTTTTCTGTTAGGTTTTTGGCTGAGATTTTGGGAGGCTATATATAACCCCTCACTCTCATCTTTTATAAGCATCCAAGAAATGTTTTAAACAAGTTTTAACAAGGGTTTATGTTTGGTTTAAGTTTTGTTTAAAAAGCTGTTAAGCAAATTGAGAGTTTGTTTCGTGAAATCAATTTCACAAGAGCTTGAGGAGATCAACCATTGGTGTTTGAGCATCCAACTATTCTTCCTCTGCCTCTTGATCTATTGAGAAGTTTTCTAAACTCTACTTCTAGCTTTATATCTATTTGTTTGATTATCATTTTGTTAAAGCTAGTTTTGTATTGAGTTTAAGATTTGATTTATCTCATTGTTACACACACCCATATTGAGCTTATAGTATTTACATATATGGTATAATTGGGGTTGTGAGAGTTTGTAACATTGATTTATGCTTAATTGAGTTCTCATCCATTGTAGAGAACAACTATTGTTATATTCGTGCTTAATTGTTAGTGTGATCTCGTGGAGATCAATTGCATAGTTGTGAAGTTTTCGGTTAGCTAGAAAACTGAGTGCGAGTGTTTGTGAACGTTGATCGGTGAGCATTGAAAACCGACATTGTGAGGTGTAAATGTTATTCGGGTGAGCGTAAAAAACCCGGTTGTGTTAGTGGATTTCTCCCCGGGAGTGGGGAGCAGAGACGTAAGACAGAAGGTCCGAACTCCGTGATCATATCGTGTGTTTGAGTTTGCTTTGACGCACTTCTCTTATGTTTAAATTTCTTATCGTCATTGTCCATTGCTCATTATTTATATCATCCACTATCTTGTTTATTTTATTTACCCTTGTGTATATCACTTATCCTAGCTCACATATCTTGTTGTATTTTATACTTGCTAGGATAACTTGTTAATTAATTTTAATTGGCATAAAATCAGATTAGATTAGCATAAGACCCTAATCCATCCCCCTCTAGTGTCTAACAAGGAAAACCTAACTCACTTTCGTAGGAATCGCGGTTGTATTTAGCGCATACAACAAG